AATATTTAATCAGAAGTTGGAATTTTTCGCTATTTCTCTTTCACTTTTTACATATAGTTCATTTTATTTGCCGGAAAGTAAGCCCTAGAAATTCAAAGGTTTGATCAAATCACGCTCGCGCGTTCTAGTATTTTTTCCCTTTATAGAAGGACATCTGTGAGCAGGGAATAAGTCAGCACAGAATTTAATTGTCGGCGAATTTCTGTAATCGTCCATAGTTCTGCTGGTGATAAGTCGAGATAAGCTAGCCGTTGATTCACTCGTCTTGCTTGTTTGTGGACTGAGTCTTATTCCCCCAAAGAGAGAGAAAGAGTTTCTGGCAATTTGTTTCCAATCAACGATTTGTGAACTCGTGTTTGGCAAACTCCTCAAGTGTTTATAGCGGATCTTTCGCGCAGCGGAACACCATGGGTAAGAAAATGTGGTAATCTACAAATCCGAGGAATCAGTTTTGGTAATCACGTGACCGTACGCCCGCCCGACGAGCCGACCGTCCGTACCACAGGTATACCAATGTAAAATAGCTCAATCAACAGGTATGGCAACCCAAATGCAACTCTATTATGGATTGAAATCGCATAGCCACCCGCGTCTTTTAAAGCAGAGACAACTAAAGAGTCAATAAAGACGAAAACGGAAAGAGGAAATTGTTTCTGTATCTGTGTTGTCTAAAGTATTAAGCTTTTTAGATTAATTGTCATGTACACAAATTTGGAATATAGAGCAAGACAAAGACAGAGAAAAAGAGAAAGTAGGCGACAGGCAATTAAAGCTCACAGAGAAAAAGGGCGACAGAGATCTAGAGTGAGAGATAAAAAACAAAGGAGACATTTTTTGCTGGAAGAACAACGTGAAAATATTGTAGCGGCGGTGACAAAATGAGAAATGTTAGCGACTAAGAAGTTTCACGTTGTAGTCGTGCAAAACAACGGGAAAGAAATGTACCCAAAAAAAAGTTGTTTTTTTGCTAATTAGACCTATTGTTGTTTTTTCGCCGTTCTCGTTGCCCTCGCCGCTTAGCATTACACGATTTTTTTTTCGTTTGAACAAACCATAAATATTATCAAGAGATTCGCTTTTAGCCCTGGCTAAATCTATGTATTATATATGTTGTGGTTCAGTTTTATCCTTGGTTTTAAAAATTTCTCTTTCTTTTTTGGTATGGTAATGTATGATAATGAGTTTAAAACAAAGGGAAATAACATTTAAACCAAGGATAAAATTGAACCACAACATATACACACAGGGGCGGATCTAGGGGGAGGGTGCAAGAGGTGCGCACCCCCCCCGCCTCCGAGATGACCTGCGGTTTTCTAATACAACTGGTATTCTGAAAAAAAAAACTATATGGTTTATTGGTGTTGAAGTAGAACAAGAGACGAGTGCACCCCCGCTAAAAAAAATCCTGGATCCGCCCCTGACACAGTTAAACGCACTTTATAAGTTAATTCATCTGCGCTTAACGAGTGTCTTTTGGTCCATAACGTTCAAAACAGCTGCTCCACTGAATGACTGACAACAGGTAACGCAAAAGAGTATCGAAGTAGTACTGTTAAATAAATGTCACAAAATTAACCTAAGCGGTCCCTTGGGGCATTTTCTGTTTTACGTCATCCTAACCATCTTTTACTTTCGAGCGTGAACAATAGAAACGTGATCGTCATTACCCAACGATTCTATGCGGCCCCTGTTCATGCAAATCGAGATTTTTTCTGGCTTACTGACTGTATATTTCAACCGTAAGTACTGTACTTAATATACGCCTGAGCTACTAGGATGCCTCTTCGGGATTTCTCTGCGGGGGGCAGTTACTGTAACTAATTTTAAATATACGCGCGGAATACAATGATGCCTGGGGCCAAAACCCGAGGAGGCAATAATTAAAAAGTATTGTCTGAGTGCGCATTGCTATTGAACCTATAAGCACCATTCATGTTTCAATGGCCTTACAAGGAAGTTCAACTCAATTCAGATGCAATCATGATAAAGTTTAGTAAATACCGCGGTTAGAAACATGTAAAATCCAATACCGCTATGGGCCATTTTCGCGATGACAACATTTGACTACAACTACCTAAACCAGAATTCAGTTTGCTTTTGCTCTCCTATTTAAATTTCTCGGTCATCCTGTTTACTTTTGTGTTTGTTCTATTATTTTTTTCTTCGATGAAATAAGTTTTTAGGTTTAGGGAAATCAAATGCCACCGTTTATCAGTGTCACTACAAGTTGCACTCTTTAAATTTGTTTGACCCTCATTCCGAGTACCAAACGGGGCCAGGTGATGATCGAGAATCACCAAGGCCGACATGGTTAAAATTAGGAATTTGTCCCCATCTATAAGCCGCTTTAAACTCGGTTAATTCTGATTTTCCTACTAGGGTAGGAACAGGAATAGCAACAAAAGCAAATAAACAAAAACAGTACAAATACATCTTAGCATCTTATACCACAGTTGATATTCATTTAGTCCGTAGTCACTAACACACTGAATCTTTGGTGGGGTACAACTGGACCCCAGCAGGCAGGATTTACATTAAGACGTTAAGTCACCTAAGCATGTTTGTCTAGTTTGCAAGTAATTTTGTTTTGGATTGCAAGCTGGTATGTTGTTAATATTTGCAAATTAAACAGACAGCAGTTTAATAAAAATTAATTTTCTAAAGGTTAGAACCGGGCTGGTACAATTTTCAAGTTGGTAGGATGAGGGTTAAATTAAAAGCTAGCGATTTAGTTATTATGTCAGAAAGAAAATTGTAAAATTTCTCACCAATGCCAGATTCCGTTTTGAACCTGATCGTTACCGGTTTACTGCCTACTGTTGTGTACCCTATATCACTGGATGGCTGGAGAGAGTGAAAACTTAAAGGGACAGGTTCACGGTTAAACGCATGCCCATTAGTTTAATTACTTTTTTCCAATTTATTATTAATTCTATTGGTTAATAATCCCACTCACATGTATCTCAGCGATCTCAGAGTGTATTTCAAAGTAGATGTGTATTTCAGAATAACCTGAAGTAGGAAGGAGGAGTACTAAAATCGAAGACAAAAATAGTGGATTATGCCAACACTACCAACTTTGAATTTATTGTTGACCCGATGGTTTTATTCCATGGTTGATTAATTTACAGCTATTTGCAAATATTTAAGTTGACCGAGTGCAAGTGACTGCCAGGGGAGTGTGCAGATTGGTTCTTTGAGAGCATTATGACATGATCATATTGCTTGCATAGACGATCCAGAATGTCCAAGCAGAAAAACAGCATTTTGATAAATGAGCATGCAGTGAACCGTGAACCTGTCCCTTTAAATCTACCAAAACACGCACACGCACACGCACGCATCTCTTGCACATTAAACAGAGTGTATTATGGGGGATTCGAAAATAGTCAATAGAAGGATCGCATGCCTACTATCTCAGGTCGGTCAGCTGTCAGCGGGAATGGCGGGCGTGTTCTCGTCTTCTCCTACTTTAATTTCTGACGACTTTTCAAAGCTTTTTTAGTTTCCTTTCCACATGAATAATTAGGATTTCTTCTATGCTAGTTACGGACTTTATTCTTCATTTGACAAAAAAAAATCCAAGTCAAAATTGCGTTCTGCTGAAGCGATCTAAGGGTTTGAAGATTCCGAATTGGCCTTGGGTAGTGTTATTCGTAAAGCCGTATAACTCTAGTTGTGATACTTATGATATATTCATATGCCATAGTAACATAGCGTGAAGAAATATTTTTTTTTATATAAAAAAGCAACATTCTATTTTTCTGTGTCATTGTATTTTGATGGTTATCCACTAGATTAGCCACAGGGTCCGGACGAGATGTGTTGGTCGTTAGAACATCAAAACCCGTCGAAAACCTCTGAAAAAATGGGTTATTTTGATCGCGTTACAATTTCGTTAGACTTGCGGTTATTGATTTTCAAAATGGCGAACAACAAAGTCGATGTGGGTCAGATAAGAAGCGAAGAAATCGTTTACGGTAGATTCATAAAGATCCCATTGGGCTAATTAATCGTGTTAAGCGACAGGTATAGACATTTTTTAAGGTGAGACTTTAAGTAAGTAATTCATTTATTCACACGAAATTCCTCTGGACCCTGTGCCCTTTTGCTTGGTGGTCGCCATTTTGGATAATTTGGTTCCAGTACGCCGATAGACTACAAAAGTATATACGTTAACAAAAATGGTCTAGTAATTAGATATCTGAATTAAAAAGCATGCACTCTACAGGTTGTATGATGGGCTAGTTAATCATGCTGACGTAGTTTCTCTATTCTTTGCAGCAAACAATTATAAAAGATGGCGGGAAGGCGAAACCGTACAGCTGTTTTAGTGCACGAAGAAGACGAAAATCTAGTGGAAGAGCTTAAGACGAGGATAAATGACTTACCTACTCAAGACGATTCCACCAAGTGTGAAGGGCTTATTCGAGAGCTGCACAAAAGGGTCTTGGCAGTTAAAAAACCAGAAGCTAAAGATCAGTTGCTTACTGAACTGAAAACTGTTTCCAGCTGTGGATTGAGCGAGGATCTGCGGGAAAAGATCACAAAGAGCGGTCTTGGCTTAGAAGGACTTGACCTTGTGTTGAAATACCGGACGACGACTACAGAACTCGCCCAGTACCTGTTTGCAAGTTCTGATGAAGATGTCAAAAACGATGGTCTTGAGGTTCTAAAAAGGAGGCTAGGACCTAGTCTAGAAGTTCTGGGTGGATTGACCTCTAAAGGAATTGATGTGAACAAGGAGTGGGCCAAAAGGCTAATCGAAGAAGTGCCCTCTCTTCAGATACTTGCTCGTATTTCCATCAGCGACCTAACCAGATTGTGCCAGCAGGAAGGCGAAGGGGAGCTAGTCCTGGAGAAATGGATGTAGTTCGTAAGCTTATAAAGGTAGCTGAATCCCGTACTAGAAAAGCTTCTGCCATTGAAGAAGAACGAGATCAACGGAAAAAGGAGAAAAACCCATTGACGAAGAAAAATTGGAGAAGGCCAGGGCACTGATGAACGAGGCAAAAGCTGAAACAAAAAAAGGCAAGGATGAAGCTAAAACGGCTGTTAAAGAGAAAATGGATGAAGTCGCAAGAATCCTTAAGCTGCCGTCTGATTGGTCCAAACAAGAGAATGAAAAGAAACCGGAAGAACTGTTTGAACACTTGGACAGTATAATTGAAAAGTTTGACATCGTTGAAGTGGGTGAATCTTACAAAAGCGACTTTGAAGTGGTGGAGAAAGCCAGCGGCGGCCGTGCTCTCTGTGCCATCTATTACTCTAAGATTGAACCGACACGTACAGCTGAAAGACCGCTCATAACCATGCCTGAAAAAGTGAAACTTTGCAGCCCTAACAATTCTCAGCAGATTAGATACTTAAAATTCTCCGAAAGAAGGGCTGCTGCGAAATACGTTCAAACTGTCAAATCTTCAAGCACGAACATTGGTTATAGTGTTGGTGGATTTGCTTCACTTTTTGTTGGCAACGTAAGCGGAGGCTACGGTTCCAGTCAAGAGGAAGGAAATGTCAGTTCAAAAAAAGCAAACATAAACAGTGCCTCTGTGTTGCAGTACATTTGGATTGCGAAAAAAACGTTCAAGTTAGGTCGAGAGCAGATGAGGCTGTCTATGAGTGCAAGAAAAATGGCAATGTCTATCATCAGTGCAGGCAAAGATCTCGAAAAGCGCCAAGAAGCTGCTCGTAGCTTCATGGGCCGCTATGGGAGCCATTTTCCGGCCGGCTTGCATACGCTTGGTGGGGTACTTTTCAATACTGTCGATGCAGAGAGCTCAGACGAAAAGGACACATATGAATTGACATCGAAAGCCACCGACTATCTTCATAATCAGGTTTCCGTAGGTTTCCTTGGGGGATCATTTGGAATAGGTGCTAGCGTTAGTACAGACCACTCAAACAGCAAAGGAAAAATAGAAGCCACTCATCAGGAGGCAGATAAAACATCTTATACTTTCGATGTTCAATCGATGGGACCGGCTGCCACAAATCCAGCTACGTTCAGCAAGTTGCTGGCCAACAATTCAACCTGGGCCTTGATTGATCGTGGAAGCCATCACGCTTACATCCCAGTTTGGGAGCTGATAAGAGATCTTGGCAGCGGCTATGAAGATGTAGCTAAGATCCTGGAAGATACTTGGTGCCAAGACGAAAAACGAAAGAAGCGAGAGGGCCAAACACTTGAATACAAATTACAGGGAATCATAGAAGACGATCTAGCACGAAAAAAAGCTGAGTGCATTAAAAAGGTTGGTTTCCCGCCTCCGCTACTAATATTGAGTGACTAGCTTTTCACCCAAGACTTTTACTTCTTTCTGTACTTGGGTGCTTGAGCCCCATGTTCTTTAATAAGTTTTCATCTTGAACAACAGCTTGTCAGCAGATCCAACATCCTTGGTCATTTCATATAGTCCAACCCCTACAGTTTTACTAGCAAGTTTAAACCCCAACACAAACATTTTGTGAAAAAAGAAAATAAATGTTTAGCAACTATTGAATCAGGCTGAGTAGGATATGAAAAATTCTGCAGATCGAGGAGGGTGTTATCCGCCGAGGCCTTCCTCGGTGGATAACACCCTCCGAGATATGAAGAATTCTTCATATCCTACGAAAGCCGAATTCAATAAATTCTTTATTATTCATTCAAACTAATTCCAAGTTTAAAAACAAGCTAAAACTTGCTTATCTTGGTCGATGTTAAGTTCATATCGATAGTGCATCTCTACCTGGACATTTAGGAGATAAAAGTCTATTCAGGGCTACAAATATACTCCAAATAGCAGATGTCATCTGTCGAGTTGTCTTCTTGCTGTTCTTGCTATGAGTTTAGACAATATTTCGCCGTAAAACGAGTAAACTGTTTCGCCGACTGTTCATCCCCAGGTTTTCTCGGATAACGGTTCAATAATCCGCAACTAAGGCTGCATTTTTGATGTCATCGGTTCAATATGACAAAATACTTCCTAATTTGGTCAACAGTAGCCGGTTGTGATGAATTAGGCGTATGCTTTTAGCCAATCAGAAACGGAGAAATATTTTGAATGAATAAGAAATAAAAATAATAACTAGGGTCGCCAAGAAATAAGTTGAAGGAATTCTGATGTAAAACAAAGCTAACTGAACTCATCAGGTCAAAACGTGACATGAGACTGCTTTGTTGTAGACACCCGAGGCAGACGACTACGGTCACGTCCCAAAACATGCCGCAGAAATTACGTCCAATTTCAATTTGAAAACGGAAGACTTGACAAGGGAAAAAGCTTACCAAACAGCCTTTGACGTGGTCAAGAGAGACCCAAGGTACTTCATCTGCGAGATTGCTTTTTGCGATGGAGGGACGTACACAGTGCGCTGCTGGAAAGCCAAAGACGACGTTCCAATGAAGTTTGAGAGTGTCAATGGTGAGCATGTGCTGTTCTACAGTGACATCGTATTCAGGTGGAACGATAAAGTTCCCATTAAAGCTGAATAGATTTAACTCAAGCAGCAACTGATTCCGGAATCATAATTGTAAGTTTTAGACAATGCGGTTAATCTCAAAATCAATTCAAACATTTCCATTGCAAAAATCTGGAAAGCATAGCAAACCGTTTTTCAAAACACAACATTTTAAAGGGCGGACTAGGTCAGTTCTCTTCGTAAACCGTTTCGCCATTTTGAAGGACGATAAGCGAAGAGTATGCTCCACTAAGATCACCTGTTGTAGATATTTTTGTGACAAGATCGATGAACTTTCTAAAGACACATTCATGACCTTTGTAGCCGGGCCGCGAAGAAGTTGTATTTACTTCATTGCACGTTTCAGCCTTGAGAATGCTTGGGCCTTTCCCGCATCCCTGTAAACAATGGCATCAAGTCGAGGCTTGGGTGGACAAAATACAGTGATTTATATGAAACTGTCCACCCAAGCCTCGACCTCATTTCTTTATGCTTGCTCACTGGAGCGGAATGCTGGAAAGGTCTATTAACTAAAACAAGGAAAGCGCAAAAGAGGTGGAAACCTGATGTAGTACTAATAATAGTACTAAAGAGCGCTAATGAGTTAGAAGCTTGTGTGACTGTTTGAAGTTCGTTTTTCATAACACCTTTTCCTAACCTTTATTGGAAAGAGCGTAATAATCTTACATATAGATGATAATAATAATAATAATAATAATAATAATAATAATAATAATAATAATAGCGATAATAATAATAATAATAATAATAATAATAATCGTGTAGCTTCCCTTTAATGTTGGATGGCATCAGAGAAAATTTCACATGAAGATGTTAAATGCGTCTGGTATAAAAACGGGACGCCGTAGTGTTATCATGCTAGAAACGTTTAACGGTCGTCTAGACGCATTTAACGTGTGAGACGTTTAAGTCGACTGGTGCAAAAATAGGACGCATAAAAGTTGACGGAAGTCCTGGAAAATAGCAGAATTTTTTCCGAAAAAAAGACAAAACACTGACTCTTCCTAGGCGTTTTTCGACGGGTTGAGCATAAATGCGTCCCAGTTTACGACGTCCCTTTATCATACTACAAGACGCAATTAACGTCTGAGACGTTAAAGTCGCCTGTTTAGTGGTTCTTAACAACATACTAAGACGTTTATGTCGTCAGACGTTTAATGGGCCAGTCTTATTAACCGTTTTACACTAGACGTTAAATCCTTCTTATGACGACTTTAACGCCCCAGACGACATTAACGTCTCTAGATTAAAGACGCCTAGTTAGACAACAAAATTAAACGGTAATTCCCTTGAAAATGATCTACTATCCAAATTTTTTTTCACAATTGGCAGAATTGATAGTCATGTATAGAACATTCAGAAAATGCAATAAAAATATGGGGTCACCCTGCTTGTTTTCGCTCTGCGTGACCGTAATTCTAATCATTTTTTCCTAGTTGCGCGCGAATGTTCGAAACTTGAAAAAACTCAAAAATTGGTTATTCAAAATTGGTTATTTAAGTACTTCTAATCATTTTTTCCTAGTTGCGCGCGAAATGTTCGAAACCTGAAAAAACTCAAAAATTGGTTACCATTTGGCTAAAAACACGAATGTTAACGAAACTTAGACCCCGTTTGGTTGTCTGGGCTATCATGTTTCAGAAAAGAGACTTTTGACCTTATCTCGTAGTCCTCTGAGGCTTCAAATGCGGAGTTAAAGTTTAAGTCATTCATATTTAAATAACACAACCTCTACTAACCTGGTTCAGGTATTTTTCTTCTTTTAGTATGTTTTTCTTATAGCCATAAGGAGTATAAAACATCAATAAAAATGGAGGTCACCGTTCTCGTTTCCATGATCACAAAGGGACAATTTCGGCTTCCAGTGACATTTTGCGTAAAGGGACTGGCTCGAGTTCCAAGACCAACATTTAGCTGGGAAGAGATATCATACTCGCAGATAAAACCATTTGGACTACAAGGGAGGCCTCCGTTACCTCTCTTTAGGCGCAGTAGGCAATATGCAGTACAGAGCAAGGGAATTACCTTAATATCCCTAGCATACAAATGGCCATTTTTTTTTTTAACTAGACGATGAAGTCGTCTTAAGACGACTTTAACGTCTCTAGCATAAAAACGGCCATTATCATGGTTGTAGTGCATGTAAGAGATAAAATATATAAGCGGGAGATCTGTAGGGGCGTTTACAATGGTGAGCCGAAAGCAAGCCACTGTAAAGCCCATACAGATCTCTCGGCGCTCATATTTCATCGTACTTATGACATGAAGGCAATCAGTAGTGATGTGCATAAAAAGTTAATGAATACCAATAGGACAATTCCACGATGACGTCATTTTACTACAACTACCAGAATCCTTCAGTTTGTTGTTTTCTTGCGCAAATTACGGCTACTGTTGTTTAAACCTCAGCGGAATTGAGAAAAATGCATACATACATTCATTCGTTAATGAGTTAGTGAGTGTGGTCATCTTTTGACCATACGAAACAGAACTGTAACATTAAACGAATGAATATCTTCTGAAGTCTGATCTTTTTAGACTACATTCAATGAATTTATCTTTGCTCGTCTGGAGTTGAGCGATTTTATAAATCCATTCAACTGAACTGTCAAAGAGTACATACAAAAAAACATACAGAATTTATTTTAAGCATGTTAAGAGTCTGGCAGCTAAAAAGCTGATATGGACCAGCGAAAAAAGGAAAGCAAAAAGGAAATGATACTGGTAGTTGTAGTCTAACGTCGTCATCATGAAAACGGCCTATTGCAGCTTATTGGCTAAGCAGGAGTTTGTATCAAACGTTGATTGTACTGTTTAATAGTTCATTAATAGTTCATTGGTAGCTTTTTTCGCTCTCCGTAGACTTCGTGTCTTTTAAGAAAGAGGTCCTTAGCTGTTTTTCGCTGAAATAAATCAGATTGCCAGAACATTATCGAGAGGAGACGTAAGCAACAAACTTTACATGTGTGTGCGTCGCAAAAAATAGAGTGTGGGTTTTTTGCTATTTTGTTCTGAAATAAGGTATTGATGTTAACTTTGTGAAGGTCTGCATATGGTTTATGCAGGTTTTTAGGAGACGCAACTTCCTAAATGTTCAGTAATGGCCGTGCAAAACACACTCGGCCTAAGCTGGAAAGAGGATCTAAGAGCGTCCAAAAGTCTTTTTTTTAATTTGAAATGAGTTGAGGTGTTTTAATTTTTTACATGCATGAGTTTGAAGTTTATAGAGTCTCGTAAAGGAATACAGCCGGTTATTTTAACAAGTTGACACTTACTTTCTAATTTTGTGAATGAAGTCAAGTTATTTTTTCGCATTGTGTGTTCTAAGTTTACCTACGATCATTAAGTCGGCGACCTCAACAGCTGCTCGAGTTTCGTCTGTTTAAAACGCCGTGCTACTGCCGTGCTAGCCTGCCAAGTTTTTAGGGGAGCTCGTCTTTCATCCGTCTTAAAACGAGCTCCCCTAAAAACGCCTGCGTGGGAGGCTACTGCCTTGCTGAACTCAATTCTTAAATCATAAATAGATTAGAATACATTATTTTAAGAGTTCGCTAGACCGCTTTTTACTTTTGCGTTTTGTTTTCCGCAATAGCTGTGTTTTATCCTCCTTGGCTACATTCAACTTCTTAAACCAAGTCGATAAAGAGTCGTGCTGAAGTCGAGCCAGCTTAGAACGGCAGTAGAAAGCACAACGTTTGAAACAGGTCTTATCGATATACCACCGCGTAGAGTATGCCCTGTTGACCTGTGCTGAGAAAAGCTGAAGGTGCAAGACATTTTTTGCCGCAGCTAAAGATGTTGAGTCGTTTCGAAATGTGTGTACGAGTGGTATCTTATGATCTTATTAGCTTAAGGTTGATTAAGAAGCAAATTGTGTGATTAAGAGATAATAAAATGGATGATTTAACGCGGATTGCACGGGTGTGGCTTCTTCCCGGAGTGTACTTAGAAAGAGGGTACTTTATCGGTCTTTATCTGATCATTTCTTGATTAACAAGGAAGCCATTTTGTCCCGAGAGACTAAAGCAGCTTTGTTGTACATGCCTAGCCTCGCTCTCAAGTTTTTCACTACGAGGTCGAGGATGGTAAGGGACTGGGTAAAAAGTAGTGGGGGAGGGGGGTGGGGGTGGGCCAGAGCATTTGGAAATGTGGTTGTTAAAAAACACATGGCCCACCCCCCAGCACTTCGGCACAAAAATGACTGACCCACCCCTAAAGCTAGGTTGGAAATTGCATGACCCACCCCCTAGTTAAAACATGGATGTTTGGTTTCCTCTTAATAATTCAATAAAACCTTGTTCTGTGCTTGACAAAATTTGCTGATACACTGCTACAACCAATATCAAAATCACAGAAATCATACCTTTCAGTGAAAAGACAAATGTGAAAAACCGAACATTTCTTGTTTCAATGGACGTTATGAGTCTTCACACAAATATACAGCAAAACGAGGGTATATTCAAATTGTCTGTCACAAAGCATATGAAAATTTCTACAAAGACAACCCATTCCTACACATTACTTGCCGGAAATGCTTAGATTAATCCTCAAAGAAAATTTCTTCCACTTCAATGGAAAGCACCACCTACAAAACCATGGAACTGCAATGGGCCCAAAGACAGCAGTTTTGATTCCTTTGCCAATATTTTAATGACATATTGAAACAACAACTCTAAGCAAAACTGTCTTGAGAACAACAGTTTGGAAATGCTACATTCACGATATCTTTACCCTATGAGATAGAGTAAACCAGACATCGAAGCCTTCATTGAACACTCCGCAAGCAAACTTATATCACCCAACTACTGAATTCACGGCCGAAACATTTGACACTGAGACTGCGTTTTTAGACACGGTTGTATACAAAGGCACAAGATCCAAGGAAAAAATGTATCCTTGATGTAAAGACACATTTTAAGCAAACGGAAACCTTCTTGCACACAAATTTCACCTCGTGTCGCCCTCCAAATGTTAAAAAAGGATTTGTCAAAGGAGAAGCCTTGAGAATCCTACGAAAAAACTCCTCAGAAACACCCTTTGAGGAAAATAATTCAAATTAAAAAACAAAAAAAAGCTTGATGGACAGAGGCTACCCACAATCTTTGATAGAAAACCTACTATCAGAAATAAAATTCACAAAAGGGAGTCTAAACTCCTAAAACAAAACAACAAGGAGGAAAAAGAAATATTGCCATTCGTGACACAATACTAGCCCTCACTGTCTACTATAAAGGAAGCTTGAATGAAAAAATGGAATCATATACAAAACCAACTATAATTTCAATAAATTTTTAAAGAACCACCAATCATTTCCTTACAAAAAAGGAAAATCATTAAAGGACATGCTCGTTAGAGGCAAAAAAGAAAGGTTAACAGAGGCTTCCACGCCCGTATAGATGTGCGGCCTGTCACCCTTTGTATTTTCTCGCACAACAGGTTTGTGAGTATTTTAGCAATAATTCCAGCTGTCTGTGTTTTATATAACAAGCGTAGTCCCCTAGGGTAGCTGAAAATTGCACGACCCACCCCTTACACAAGGCTCAAAACCTCATGACCCACCCCCTCTCAGCTACGCCCCCCTATACTTTTTGACCAGTCCCTAAAACAAAGCTTTTCAGTCTCTCGGGACAATATGGCCGCTGTGTGAATATTTAAATCAGAGGACCGAAGCCAATCGGAAACAGCGACACATTTCAGGAAGATTTTAGTATTTCGTCCGACTGACTCTAACCTGTTTCTATCACTTTATAAATAACTGGCAGTGTACTATGGTACCAAGTTAGAAAGAAATCCGATACGCAGATATCAACTTTATGGTAGTCCGTTCCGGTCAAAATTATTCCAATATTTTGCCAGTGCAACACTTTTTATAAACCCGTTGTGTATTTTTGTTATCACTGCATAATACTTTTTTCAGCGTGTTGGTAATAGACCTTTTTACCGATACGGAGGCCACATAGAATTAATTCCATTTAAGGAGTATTATAGGATGCCCAGGGGGCATGAGCACATTTCGTTTGTATTTTCGGGCGCTTTTCGGGACATTTTTTCTCAAAGTTTTCTTAGAATAAGATTGTAATGGGAAGAAAGATCCTTGTGCCGTGTTTGGATGTAAATTTCTAGTTTAGTAGTAAAAATATCGACTTTCACAGTATATTTCTCAGGAAAAAGGCGATCATTATTACATCCAAACACGGCACAAGGATCTTTTTCCCCATTACAATCTTATTCTAAAAAAACTTTACGTCGAACTTTTTAAAAATCGAATTAATTCAATATGGCCGCCGTATCGGTAAAAAGGTCTATTTTTTTATCAGCATGAATTATTTTTTTTATAGTTCTACAAATATTTTTTCATTACGTTTTACTTCCAAATATGCATATATTATTTTTAGAATTTTATTTTTAGTCAGTGACACGAAAAACCACAACCAAGCGGGTGGTAGAGAACAATTCTACACAAAAGGACTTGCAGAACAACATTTCAATATCCCTACAATATTTTTTTTATTAGTTTATTCAACAACATATATATTAATTTTTACAGTTTATATTACGATATAGCTATATTGTATAGTTTTTCATCTTTACTTTTCTTGTGTTGTTCTTCATTCTTCATGATGTGCTGATAATATGACTGTCACATTTTTGGTGTGTTTCTTTGTCGTCCAATGAAAGAGTTCATCGCAACATCTGCTCCAAGAAATTTCAAAAGCAGATCTGTGGCATCTACTGGAAGGATGCTTCAAAGAAAATAAACAGAGCACATGTCAGAAATATAACCTAAAGCATACATTTAAATAAAACCCAGTACCATAACCTGTTATTTCCGTGAAAAAAGTCATCATTCATTATGAAGGAAATTAACAACGCAGCTACTGTCGTAGCTTGCGATTTCGCCATTTCCGTTACAGCTTTATTACAAACCAACGATAGTTGGGTCTATAACATCGATCATGGAAACGTAAACGCCGTTGTCTTTTTAGACCTTAAGAAAGCATTTGACACTGTCGACCACCATATTTTATTATCTAACCTCTGCTAACCTACATCTGTATGGAATAAATGGAAACGCCCACAGGCCCTCTTCGTACTTAGACAATCGCACTCAGAAATGCTTTGTTAACGGTTCCCTTTCTAACACTTGCACTCTCAAATGCGGCGTTCGCAAAGGAACAATACTAGGTCCTCTATTTTTCCTTCTATACATAAATGATTTACCAAATTGAGCTCAGAACCTAAAATGTATGCTAATGATACCCATCTGACATGTGCTGGTAACGACATCTATTCCATCCAGTCCTCTCGAAATCGAGATCTGCTAAATATTAGTCAATGGCTGACTGCTACAATAAACTTTTTGCAACCGCATAATAATTGTTTCTTTACCTGTCATGATCTTCTTTACATCTATTTCTTCATTCCACAGTTACAACATATTAAATTCATGTCTTCATTACAGTCGACTCAAGATAACTCGAACCTTGCGCTGACTCGAGCCAAAATCGATTTCGGGTATTTTGCGCAGGATTTCCTTTATGCATTTACTGTACTTTTACTCTTGGTAACCTGGATCCTCGATAACTCGAACCTCCCGCTGATTCGAAGTAATTTCTAGATAGTTTTTCCCTTGACTAACTGGAACCATGTTTTGAGCGTTAACAAGTTTCAAAAAAACGAAAACAGTGTTCTGGCTTCCGAACCACAGAAGTTTGAATTCAGGGAACCCACAGACGTGTTCTAGGCATAAATTAATTATAGTTTGTCAGTGGAGTTCATGTAGAAGTAATAAAACACATGCTATTTAGGTTATGTCTTGTTACCCAAAATGTTATATAATTTCTGATTTAAATTCTGGAAGTATCATTCCAAAATCACTCGACTTTTCTAGTCCTAAAATGTGATTAAAATGTTCACTGTATAGTAAAAACTGTTTTTTCCTTACTTCTGGCTATTTGCTTCAAGCTTCCGATAACTTGAACTTTTTTTGATATCCCTTGAAGGTTTGAGTTGTCAGGAGTCGACTGTATTTCAGAAACCCAGTTAAGGGTATATTATGGACTATTAACCGGGACAAAAAAAACTTCATTATTCAGTGTACAGATTGTATGTTGTGGTTAAATTTTATCAGGTGAGTTCAATTAATTTAATTTCTCCTTTATTTGAAAGTTTACATCATTACCATACAGTGTGCGAACAACCAAAAGAGACTTGAAAATTTCAGCCAAGGAAAAAACCTGAACCACAACAAAATTATATGACATGTATATTTGTAACAGATTATTTGTGGATCAAAAGGTTGTACATACTGTTGTAAAGCTGTTGAAAAATACGCTCCTCTGGGCATTATAAGAATTGTCTGGTTATTTTCTATAGCATCCACCACTTTTGATGCTGCATACTCTGGAGTTAATACACCGAATCCTAACAAATGGGGAAACCTGATAAACAAAGAGAAAGACAACAACAACAAAGAAGTCACTTAATTCACTCAAGGATGTTAGGTGTATCAGCCATTAGTAAAATCCAACTATTATCAATGCTGTGTTCTGATTGGTTGAGCTGCTACTAGGCTATATGTCATAGCTCACTAGTAGCGAAAAGTGCCGGATTTGAAAACCCAAACAATGGCGGCTGAATTGCGTTTTACTAGCTAAAGTTGTTTTGTTTCGATATTTTTGACCAACTAGTTGGGTTTTACTAAAAAAAAATTATTCCTCTCGCCCTCATGGCCTCTGAGTCAACAGCCCATTTGGCCTTTGGCCTCATGGGCTATTGACTCAGAACCCATTCGGAACCCATTGTTAATTATAATCAGTTATGTTGACAGTTATAACCAATAATCATTCAGAATCATTATTAAAAAAATTATTGGTCTAGAGGTCATTGCATCATTGTCCATTAAATACAGGTTTGTAACAAAAAAGATAAACATTTCATCCACTTTTCAGGTGTCTGCATCTTCTTGAGTGGACGCTTGAGTCCGCTTTTAAGCAGACTATTCAAATATAGGTTTTATTTAGCGTAAATGAGGGATGGACATAATTTTGGGACTTAAGGTTAATAGAGGGTAGGGGTTTCAATCCTGAAGCACCAACGACTGAAGAAATGCATCAGCTACTTTGCTCACAGAAGTCTGCTACTTTTTTCCTAGAGCCTGCGTAGCATGGTGGTTTTGTCGGACAAACCACTGAGTGGTGAAGCCACAAATGTGAGCACAAACAATCTCCTCACAGTTTCACTGCCCCCATCTTAGCTTGTTTGTGCAACCAACCAAAACCGCCATACTATGCAGGCTACTTTTTTCCCGAAAGAAGCAGCACCTAATTTTGAAAATTGTTTAAACAAACAAAAAAATATCCGTAAAACTGAATAAAAACGAAATTATGTTGTTCACTGAACATTTTTTGTCATTCTTTAGTTATTTAAACACTGTCTTACTGACTGAGTCAATTTTTCACATGCTTTTTTTATGGGTTTATGTGTACACGTACATGTACATACATGTCACTGAAGAAAAAGATAATGTCACCAACCTAAACTTAACACCTTCAAACATTCCAGTAGTTATAAGTGAAGGGCAAACTGTGGTGAGTTGAATACCAGTAGATCCTATGCTTGAGAGTTCTTGACGTAATGCCTCCATGAGTCCAACAGCAGCAAACTTTGATGAGCAGTAGTCAACTGCACCAGCCAGACCAGTCTTACCAGCTATGGATGCTAAGCTTACAATGTGCCCATGTTTACGATGAAGCATGTTTGGGAGGAATTCTCTTATGGTCTACAGAGAGGAAAATAATTTATAAAAATTTAATCATAGCTTTTTTGTAGAAAAGGTTAGAAATATCTGTGCCAGGTTTGGTCTTGTGAAGTACAAAACGTACACAAATGTACTTAATGTGTATTCCAGAAAATATCCATCCCCCACGGAGGCAACGAAAATTCAGAGAGGTGTGTGTGGGGAAGGGGGGGGGGGGATATGACAACCTCTCCTGTGATTGGGGGGGGGTCTAAAACAAAAGTGCCCCTGGATCTGGATAGTTTTTGGAACTACACAAAAGTAATAATAAAAGATTATGGACTGCATTTTGACCTTATTGACTAATATTGATCTCAGGTACAGTGTGACTGTCCTTTCACAAGTGTGTGTAGTTGTCATTCTCCCCTGTAAAATCTGCAGTCACTGCACATGATGCTACATTAGGGAGCTAATAAGCAACAATGAGAGGGACGGCTACAAAAACGTCACTTAAAAAATGAAGTTGCGCTACTTCAAACTTTGGTGCAATTATTGCCTCGGGTTCCATTCGCCAAATGTTGGCTGTTTTTACTGGATTTGAATTCTAAAAGACTGTATCGAAGTTCACGAAAAGAAAAAGAAAGTCGTTGTCTTGTGTTTACGTCCTCAAGAAAACATGAAAATAGGCATTTTCATGTCGTAGTCGTCCAGTGATGGTAAAGAAATGTACAAAAAAACATGTTGGAAAGTTGTTTTTTTGCTAAATTAAACCTATTGTACTTTTGCTGTTCTTGTTGACATCGCCATCATCGTTGCTTAAGCTCCCTATTGTACGTATTTGTGCCTCAAGTTTGGTCATTGAATCAACTTTGTCCTATTTAACCCCCCTTGACCAGTCTCTGTACTAAGAGCATGTCATCCTGTACATCAACTTCTTCAACTGTTTCTTTTTTTCTTTTCACAAGCAAATAGACTGTTGAAAAATTACTGGGAGGAACACTCTTGAAGTGAACAAAAAGGTTATAATACTGTGATACTTATGCAAGAGTTGATACTTTACAAGTCATTGTCAGTAGAACTGCGGGGTCCTTATTCATGGTAAGATTTTCACATTAGTCATTAGTGAATAATAATGTTAAAAAGGTCTTTAGAAATGATCATACAGTTATTTTCTTCATGGCTAGGGCAGAAAATTAGGTCAAGATAGAATAAAAGCATTTCCACTCCCTCATCCCCTCCCCAAGGCACCTTAAAGACAGACTGTTGGTAAGCTGACTTCTAGAATCAATGGACATCAGGTACATGTAAAGTACCATAAAGGCTGATTTAGATGGTATGATTTTTGCTTACAGCCATTGTGTGCAACTAGCATATGTCATGACTTTCTACCATCCACATGTGCACAATTTTCACTTACCACATCCACAATGTGTCTTACGAATGTCGTGGCACTAATTTACACGACACAATCTGTTGTGAAGTCATGATGCATGCTGTAGTTGTGCACGATAGTCATAAGCAAAAAATGTACCGTCTAAATTGGCCTTAAGATGTCTTTGAGACTCTTGTACAAGACACCATTAATTTTTTAGCAGTTTATGAAGGTGCACTACAATACAGAACGTAGTCCTGCTTGCAAAAAGGATCATGATTGTTTATGATATACAACAGAAACAGTGTGTGTATGTGTATGTTGTAGATAAAGTCAGTTCTCAGGTTAAACCAATACTCAGCCTAGCTCAATCAGAATTTTCTTTGTTTGCTCAGTAGCCCAAAACTGTTAATGGGAGACAACAAAACCCTGGTTTAAATTATAACAAGAATGCTTTAGCCAGTTTCCTCAGAAATGGAAGGCTATGATCAATATGTATCTGTTGTGCTTCAGTTTAATCCCTAGTGGTTTAAATTTTATCTTCCTGTGTTTATCATACATTGCCATACCCTACCCCCCCCACCCCAACAAGGAAAATACATTTATATGCAGGGTAAATGTGAACCAAAACACATGCAATATAACAAACTGTTTACTATTCTAAAGAGACTTACCCAAAAGTGTGCTAGGGAGTTAACATCAAAAGTGGCTGAAATTTCTTCATCAGTGCAATCCATAAACTTCTTCCCTGAAACAATGCCAGCATTGTTTACCAGCAGAGAAACTTCACCAACATCCTCTTTCACTCTTGTTGCTGTCTCATGAATTTCATTCTTATCTCGCAGATTGCACTTGTACGAATGTACCTCACCACCAGCAGTTTTAATTTCCTTTGCTACAGCATCAAGCCCCTCTTGATTAACATCCCATATAACCAGTCTACAACCTGTTGAAATGAAGCAACTATCAAGGATGGATCCAGAATGAAAGTGATTTTCCCTAATTCAATTCCCTAAGGCATAAAAATCCCCAAAGATGAACTTGTAAAAGTTCATGGCATGCGTCCCATAGGACACAAAGATCGATTGATCACTTGATCATCTTGTTCTTGTGATTTCTGTGGCTGTTCTTATAGCTGTTGTTTAACAGTGGTTCTGGAGTGAGACTGATGATTTGTTCACAAGATGAGTCCCAGGACTCACCGTAACTATTTGTAACAAAATCACTGGAATGGACAAATGACCCAGATGACAGCACTTGTCTGCAAGCAGCATCTTCCTGTCACTTTCTTGATTTTGGCTTACTCAAGAAGAACTCTGCATGCATTGAACTGGGATAGATCTAAGTTGAGCATGCATGCCTTGTATCTACAGTTTCAAAGTCAGGGCTAATAGCTGTGCACCTGGCAGTCAGAGGGCTCAGTTGTGACTATTGGTTTATCAATAAACTGATGGTTGCTTTCAAGACTGAAGTTTGGGCTGTGGTGACTTCAAAGGGTAAACATGATCAGGCAAAGCCTCCTTTTCTCCTCCTTTATCAAGAAGAACACTGAAGGAGACTCAAGGCCGTGCTTTCCATTTGTCAGAACTGACAGGCCAAACTATTCCCAACACAATGAGAATTTCCATTTTAATCAAATCTCTCCAGCCAGATCAGTCAAATCCTAAGTAGTATGCACCAAGGAAATGGTTGTTCAGCAAAAACTCTTGGAAAAAGTGTATTTTATTATCAAACCCACTGGTTGGGCAATGGTCCGGCCGGCCATTTCAGACAAATTGAAAGTGCTCTCAGCTTACAAGGTGATATGCTAGAACCAAGGATTAAAGGGACTGTGTCATGGCAGTCCAGTTCACTTTGTTTCATTTTGCCAATTACTCGGCCACAAACACTATAGAACTTAAAGTAAGCAAAGAAATTACATGTAAATGACAAAATCAGAGATCTGTGACAAACAAATATGTCTCCTGAGCATTATTTTTGAAGTTGCAAGCGACAGGGATGAACTTTGAAAAACTGTTAGGCGGAACAGTTTTCAAAAACCCTAATTTCAATCCGTTTCAATCTTCTTCAGTTTTGTCCATCCATGGCATCTGTTGTTTCTGTAATGTTATTTTAACCTTCCTTTAAAGTTTTAAATGCTTATTTTTATGCTTCTCTTAATTTAACGGGCATTTTGTAATTTCCTAATTTGGCTGAACTCCGTGACACACTCCATGACACAGCTCCTTTAACTATGAAGTGAAAATTATGAAGAAAAAACTCACACACACAAAAATTATCCAGAAACATCCTAGGAAATTAATTATATAATGTAGTCTGCTAAAGTTCTGCCAAAGGCATTTCATTTTTAAATTTGCAATACTCTAAAATTTTACCTACAGACTTAAAAGTTAGGTTAGAGTGAGAGATCATTTAGTCATAACAGAGTTTAGAAGCGATTAAAGGATTAAAAGTGTTAGAGTTGTCCGTACAGGATTTGTTGCTCTAATCAAGTCATTTCCATTCGCTCAAAATATTACAGTCTGCATGTATATTTCTAAAGATTCTTACCCCTTTAAGCCCCAATATCCACAAGCAAATTCTCCAAACTGATCTCTATACATTTCTTTAAAAAATAAGTTGAGAGAGTTTGATAAAAGATCAAAGTATTTTCTCTTTGGTGATCATTTAATTAATTCTCATAACCTAATCTCTTGACATTGTGTGGATATTGTTAGGAGAAAATTGATGTTGGTCACTATTGGGACTTAAATGCTTTGTTTTTCCAAACATAATGAGTTGAATTTTAAGGAAAAGGACAACAATACATGTACATATAAGTGTGAAAAAGCTTCAGGCGTTAAAAACCACCTGCCATGAGCTTCCTGTTAATTCAAAAACGTTTTTCAAACGATATAGTTTTTTTTAAATAAATCAGTCACCTAAGTGATTTTTTTTGCACTTTTTGCTTGAAAGAATTGAGTTTTTTTAACATAGACAGTCTGAGACTATAATTATTATTACCATACTGGATTATATAAATGTATATACTGTTTCTAGAATATTAAAGAACCTGGAGATTTTAGGGACAAAACGAAAATTGATGTTCAGTATCTGTCACTGCGGATGGAAATTAATTAAAGTACAAAAGCTTCGTGAGCAGCTAAGCCACAAACCGAGAAGAAGTCGTGACAATATTATTGAGTTTACTTTTAACTTTTAATACGAACATCAACAATAATAATAATAATAATAAAAAAAAAACAACGAACCTTTCTCAGCCAAACGAAGAGAAATCAGTCGACCAATACCACTTGCTGCTCCTGTTACCAAAGCAAGCTCTCCATGAAGGCTCTTTCTTGGTGGCAAAACCCACCTAAAAGCCGATTGTGAAAAGGAAATCAAAACGCGGAAAGAAAGGAAGGTGAGCTCGAAAATGAGAGAAATGATGTAGCCTTTTCCCGTGAAATGCAGGATCACAATGAAACCTTGAAGAGCCACCAAAGCGTACAGGAGACAAACGAGGGACATGTTTGTTACAAGCGCAGAGGTCGAAGCGATAATGATCAATCTGTTCTGTTACAGTAGATGTTTTTGTGGATGATCACCTGCCGACTTGTGCATGTGACTAAACTGTTTTTCCGGAGGACTGGAGACAAAAGAAAAGACAAACAATGTCGATTAAAAGAATTGTTAATGCCCTTAAGGGGTCATTTTCTTGCTAGCGGGATTACAGACTTAAACTACGCTGTACATACATGCTCAATACGTTACCGTTTCGGGTTACAAAGACAATTTTAATTGTAATTTCTACTGCTGCACATAACTCACTAAAAGTAAGCCGCTATAACAATAAGATCACCTAGTGAAAACAGACACTTACACAGACCAGTGCAAGACACTTCGAATAAATCACACCTTTCAAACGTTGTGAAATTTAAACCCGGTCCTGAATGAGTCAGCGGAAGACTTCACCTACCCTTCTGTTATGTGCATCTCCAACTTACGCGTTGGTTTTGCCACATTCCCGACTTCCGCATCGATTTAGCTTTGTGTGAGGTAAAAAATCGTGGTTTACGACCATGCAAATTTTATTAATTTTCCAAACAATAACCTTCCATCAATTCCTGCCATCAGAAATTCATTTTCCCGCCGCCATTTTCGTTTGCCTACCCATGAGCCTCTACCAGCTGGTAGAGCCCGCGATCGTTGTGACGATGATGATGGCAGCACTGCAATGAAATGATGAAGTAATATTTTGATCAAAAATATCACATTTAGTAGCCTTTTTGGCGGAGTTCCCTTTCATTAAATTCATGAAAACTTCGTCTCTTACGCGTGACGATGTAAAGCTTGCAAATGAGTGGTAATAACGTTGTGGGGCTACGTGTATTTTCGACGATCTTTCCGCCGGTTTAAAAATTCATTGAGGAACCTGTAAAGTCATGTTGGAGAGCTTGGCTGCATGGGTTTTGAGAACATACGTTGGGGAATACGTTGAAAATCTTAACACGGACCAACTATCCATTGGATATGGTAGGTTAAGATAAGTGAAAATCGCATATAATGAGTGCAAATAATCCAGTCATTAACTTATGCACGTGAACGAACTACCTACCGACCGTAGCTCGAGCTCCAAGTTAAAAGGCTCTAGTGAGGCTTTTGGGGCTTGTAAAGGCTCTTTTGTAGTAAGGCTTTACTCCAATCCACGAGTAAACTTAACTTAGACAGGACGTATACTCTGAATTCTTGAGTGCTGCAATGTCGAGGTTGCATTCTTCTACTTATCAATATTTAGCTATGGTGTAATGTTAATTGTCCGCATTTAATTTTATTTTCGTTTTTAATTTTCTCACATATCGCGGTAGAGGAAGTAAATTTTGACAATTTTAGATAGTCTAGAAAGTTTCATATGGGTAAAGATATTTGTAAAGGAATATTTTATTATTTCATATGATAGCTCTTTGACCAAAACAGTTTAAATAAGCTCAGTCATTGAATAATTTAAGTGCAAGAATAACAATGTACAATACATGTTTACAAAATATTTGGCTAGGATCTGGTCATTACATTCATCACTTATTCAAGCTATAATGAACGGGTCACAGATTTCATAACTGTACTAGTCTTGCAATGTAATTCATGTGGGGAGTAAAAGTTTGTGGTTCATGGTTCATTTCCCTTTTTCCAAGTTTGCACAAAGCAACATTACATTTTCTTTCTTTATATGTAAGAATTTAAGATTTGTATTTTGATAAGCTTGCAAATGAATCATTTATCATATGCATTCACATAGTGCAGCCAAGATTTTATTATTTTTTCCAGCAACTTATTTAATTAGTCATTTCTGGAAAATGGCCATTTCATTTGCACAGTTTACATACAATTGAAAGGCTGCAAGTAATAATCTCCCTAGTCTCCCTCGCAGTTGTTTTTTGAATGACATGCGATGCTCCCCCAAAAGATAGTTCTTTTGGGGGAGCATTGTGTGACATCCAAAAACAGCTGCGAGGGAGACTTATAACCTCCCTTGTCCTCACTCATTTTGGATCATGTGTCTTTTAGGAGACTGTCGATCAGTGTATCAGCCGATATCTCAGTCGACTGTTGATCAATATATTGGCTGCTATGTCAGCCGATAATCGGTCGACTCTTGGTCGAGTCTCAACTGTTATGCTGGTGAAACTCGGTTGCTACAGTTTATTGGTGGATAGTCGGCCGATAGGCAGCCATGATGTGCTGACAGGTTGTCGACATATCAGTGACAATTGGCCGACGTAACGTCGGATACCATGATGGAAATGTCGGTCAACGTGTTGGTTCATGTGCCGGTCTAGTATTGGCCAACTGTGGGCCAAGAGTCGGTCACGTCTTGACCGATATGTACCCAGGACTTGACCACTACAGTCTGTTGGTCAATAGTCGGCCGACACTTTACCGACGGATCACCCACAATCAACCTGTTATCAGCCAAAACTGATATGTATAACAAGCATTAGTGTCCATTGTGTCTCAGCTGACGTCAGGAACCTTGTAACAAAGGGCAAAGCATAGAGTAAAAGCAATAGCGATTGTTGACCGATACACCACTGATAACGTACCAAATATAGTCGACCAACAGTTCACCGATACTCTGGTGACATGCTACTGATGCTATCGCGGCTGACTGTTGGTTGATTTGTTGACCGATACTCGACCAACAGTAAAACATCACTCGGTGGATATATTGACCGACTCTAGGCGATGCTGATTGTTGACTGATACACCACTGATACCTCTCTGATACTCAACTGACAATTCACCAATATATTGTCGACACACTACTGATGCTATCTCGACCGACTGTTGATCGATCTGTCGACCAATACGTGAGCGACAGCAAAACACCACTCGACCGAGATATCGGTCTATACTCAGCCGATATTCGACGGACTCTCGACCGAGTATCGGCCAGCATAGCGGCCGGTATATTGATCGACTGTTGACCAAGATGTTGGCCGATACATCGATCGACAGTCCCCCGAAAGATACATGATCCCTCACTTTTTGGAGTGGATGTTTTCCCATGGTTTTTATCTATAAATAGTATTGTCGGCATCAATGTTTGGATCTCAAAAAGAACATGAACCATTATAACCAGCCCTTCTTATTTCCTCTCATGCTTCTTTTATCAGTTTTGAACCACAGTTTAACAGAGAAAACAGAAGAAAATTGTCCATTACTTTGTGAGACCAACTGAAGCATGATGGTGCTGTATCAAGCAAATAAGATAGGCAGGCATTAAAATGAGTCTTAAGATCATGACTTTTATAATGCAAGGCATTTTAAATTGAAGGTGTGGTTTTATTTTTTTCAGTTAATTGAATAAGAAGCTCATCACCTACTTTTAAGCAATCCCCTGAAGTTGAATTAAAACTTTTAGTTTATTTTAATGAACTCTTATTTTTGTTTCTTTTAAACTTTGATCAGGCACTGTTGATCTGCATAACTTGCCACTAAAGAAAACAGCACTGAAAGGTCTTGAGCTGCCATTAGAAGTGAAGTCAGGCTTTATTGGTCATCTGCAGCTATCTATCCCATTGCGGCGACCAAAATCAGAACCTTGGATTGTTCATGTCAACAAACTTTATCTTGTTGCGGGGCCTCTTCAGCATTCACAGGTTGGTGTGATCAAAGTGTAATAGTAGAGGAGACTGGCTATGTACAGGTAACGTGGCAAACATCAAAGATAAAAACAACAATTGATGCTATAGTTTATGTTAGGAGCTCCTGAATGGCCCGGTGATCAATCCTTAATGCAATTTTTTTAATGTTCAATAGGATCAAAATGATAGAAATGCTATTGAATGTTGTGCATTATTCAAGTGTGCAAAAACATACTTATGACAAAGGAGAGAATTAATTAACTATGATATGATTGTACTGCATAAATTTATTGCTACTCACTTATCATGATGAGGTAATTTTAACCTGCTGTGATGCATGTACCACCACCTCCCAATAACTGAAACCTTTATTAAGGGAAATACTTAGAAAATTAAGTTTCATTTATCAGGAGTTGAACTTTGTAGGGAGTTTAGAGTATATAATTGTTTGAATTACGCAAAAAAGATTTCTACTTAGCCTGCAAGCAAGCTCTCCGGGGCTCTCTGGCAACAGGGCGGGAAAAGGAAGGAGAGCTGAAAACTATGTGATGTCTCTGGAATTTGAATTCCACCTCCAATTCCACCGTGGCTCCCTGTCAACTGAGCTGTCAGATTTCTGACAATCAGCGCAAAGCAGAAACAAACACAAATTTAAACAAACATTGAAAAATATGTGCCAAGAGTAATAACGTCATTACTAATGTCATCTTCACCAATCAACATTTTGCATTGACGATTTTGATGCAGATATTCAAATTCCAGAGATGAGTTGCAAGTTCTCCTTCCTTTTGCCGCCCTGTTGCCAGAGCGCCCTGGAGAGCTTGCTCGCAGTCTAGTTTCTTCTCTAAAGTGAATATTTCAATAAAATTTTTTCATAAAGAAGTCAATTGAAAATGAAACAATATTTCTGCATTACAATGTAATGTACGTGAAGCAAAAAAAGCAAAAACATGAAATTTACTTTTTCAAGAAGTAGCCCTGACACTTCTCAATCAATCCATTCCTATTTATTGTGGAAAGTTTTATCAGCGTCAATATCAACATCCAAAACCTGTACATGTATGTCTGTAACATGCCAATAGCTTGGCACAAGTTGTGCTCTGAGGGGTGTTTTAGGGACGGCTCAGAAAAATTAATTCAATGCTTTAGACTGCACTACACTTTTTTGTTGACTTGTCAAATGTACTTGACAAACAAGGTTTGAGTTTAGTATTAGGGGTCAAAATTATATAGAAAATTATCTGAAGAAAATTGAAAATTATTTTGAGTTAGCAAGAGGTTGTAACTGAGGGTAAAATTATGGTTTAAATGTATGGCAGAAATCCAGCAAAGGTAGTGTCTATTTTGACTAGTCAGCTTTTGAGTCTGTGGACCAGATATTGTGGTGCGACTACTTAAATGAACCGTCAGGCATCTTTTTGAGGACGTTCAAATAGTAGTATTTGTTTTTCAGCTTTTTGTTTTGCATTTCTTCACCTGGGTATCATCCCCCCAATCTGTATCACTTTCAGGTTTCCTCAATGTTTAAGGGGGAACAATATCGAATAAACTATTTTGTAGAGACATGAACCGAGTCACAAAATTGCAGCGCAAAGGGCATATGCGATGATGATCACAAAGATTTTTGGGTATTGCCTGCCAGACCCAGGGATGCACTTTGGATTAATGGGAACTTTTAGCATCTCTATAAGCCAAGGCCAGTATAAGGGCCTGGGGTCAAAATGGTAATGAACATGAAACAGAAATAGATAAGACAAGACAGATAAAATAAGGCACAGTATTTATCTTAATTTTAATACATGATTGTATTTTTTTTACTAACTTTTAGTACAATGAAGAAGAAGAAAAGGAGAGGGAAAGAGCTCGAAAGAGGAAACGTCTAGATGCTTTGGAGGCTCAGTGGCTTGTAAGTATTGGACAGTGTCTTCTGACTTATAATTATCTTATTATATTGTAAATAATCAATGGGGGAGAAAATGTTTTGAGAGGCAGCCATTTTTCTAGGGGTCAGAATCAGTGAACTGATAAAAAGTAAAATAGGAGAAAAATCACACACATATCATTTATGCCTTTAAAGTGATCATGAAATGTATACTGTATACAGTCAAACCTGGATTGTATTAAGTGGACCTCCATTAACAGGGCTTCTGATATTTTGCGTGGTCAAGAAGCTGCAAAATTCAGGTAAATCCGCGAAATCCCACGAAATTCACAAAAACACCCAAAATGCTGCAAAATTTGGTAGAAATCTTATCAAAATTAATACATGTCTGTACAACATATTTTAAACTTATTTCAGCGATAGGGGCTATTTACTTGCCCTAAACTTGCAAATTTATCTTGGAACTTCGTCACTGAAGCATGCAAACAATGTCCTGAAACTACCAGGGGTAGATTAAGTTGCGAAAAACTGGGCACTAGCCGTGATGTTAAAGGCTTTGCCATTGGTTCATTTCTTGAGCGTTTTGTTGTTGAAAGAGCAAATGATGACCTCTGTTACAAAAACATTAAAAATGCTGGTCTGATCAGCGCAAAACTGATCGATTTCTAGCGAAATTTGCCTTGAATCGGCCGTTTTTTGCCGATTGCTTTTTGGTGAAGTTTGCCCTGAAAACTCCCGCGAAATTCCGGCAAAATCAGCCGATTAATTTTTCCGTGAATTTGTCCCTAAAAATCCCTTGAAATTTGACTTTTTCTTCCGTGACCTATCAGAAGCCCTGCATTAAAGCAGTCACTAATGTCCAAAGTCCTGGAAATATATAGTTGACTCTTAAACTGTTGTTAAACTGACCTTTATTTAGTGGTCACCGCTACTATTAATTAAGCGGCCGCTGTCACCTTTTCGGAGGTCCCAAGAAGTTGTTTCTTATTGTCATCACCTCTATGCTAGTGCACCAGGTACACTGTGTATGGCATAAAGTGGTCTTTTACTTTTTCCCTTTTGGTACAAGTGGAGGTAGAAACAGTTTGAGGCCAATTTTTCAAGGACAGATATTTCGCTTTTTCACCATCTTCACTTTTTTGAATAACCTACAGGTTTTTCAAACTTGTATCAATGGTTAACCTGTATAAAGTGGCCAGTAAGCCGGCCATTCCTCAACGGTGACCACTAATTTAGTACAGGTTTGATTGTAATGTGTAGACTTTGGTTGTTTTACTATTGGCCTATGATCAATCATTTTGCAATACCAATGCTTTTTTGTGTTGGATAATTGAAAGTAATATTACAAGGAAAAATGTGACCCAGAATGCAGCATTGATAATAGCCCACTAGTTGAATTTTACTAATAATAATTATTGTATTTCAACAGGCAGCTAGAAAGAACAGTGCTGCTGCTGGTGGTTTCTGGTCTGGCTCCTGGTGGCCATCTCTGTATTCATCTTTCTCTACAACAATTGTTGAAAATCTACAGGTATGAAACACTGCTCATCCTTCTGCTCTCGATATTATTAATTAACCAGTTCTTTATACTTATCATCAAATTAACCCTATTGGAGAAAACCATTCCTGAATGGCCCTTTTTAACCCCTTAAGCCCCAATATCCACATACAAATTCTCCAAACTGATCTCTACATATTTCCTTTAAGAAAATGTTGAGAGAATTTGATAAAAGATCAAGGCATTTTCTCTTTGGTTACCATTTTATTCATTCTCATAACCCAGGGCTGTCCTATCTGTCTCAGGGCTGTCAATAAGGGCCGGTAGCTGGCCAAAACCGCCGGCTAGTTAGCCATCCTTAGCTGGCTACTTTCATCTTCTTCTACCATAACTGCTAACAAAAAATGAGCAGCATCGAACAAAATTCGTAAAACATTTGTTTCCCAGTTTTGCATGACATTGAACGAATATTTAAATTTAAATAGGTTTAGATCTGTGAAATGTTCAAACCGTGCGATTTTTTGGAACGCCTGGGACATGTTCCCAGTCTTGCATGTATTCTGACGAAACAACATGGCGTCTGAAAATACCTCTCAAAAACCCTGGAAATGGCAATTTTGGGGCTCTAAATTTCAAAATGTCGCAAGATGCCTCGGCCCTCAATAACTTGTGCTTTTGGTGTGAGTTCCAGAGCCGCCTACTATTCATTATCAGCCTGCTACTTATAAACTTTTTGACAGTTCTGTTTTTTTAATGATAATTTTACGTTGTTAGGAGAAAATTGATGTTGGTCACTATTGGATCTTAAAGGGTAAATCTTAAATCTTATGACCCCCTGAGTGGAGAGCTTGACTTGTAAAATTAAACAAAACTATTTTATTCCATTGCAATCTTATTTGTTTTTTTATCCTCTCCAGCTTATCATTAGTGATGTACATTTTCGCTATGAGGATGCAACAACTGAGGAATCGCTGCCTTTTGCTTTTGGCATAACCATCGCAAAACTGTCAGCACAGTCCACCAACGAAAGCTGGGTAAGTTTTTTGGGATCATTACACTTTTCTGGAAAACTGCCCATCTACCCCTCCCCTAAGCCAACATCAACACTTAGTTGTCACTTAGGGCAAAATGTTGGCTTAGGGGGGGGGTAGGTGGGCAGTTTTCCAGAAATGTATTATGATTCGTTTTTTGTTGCAGCCCTCCCAAGTACTCTACCGTACTTCACCCATTTCAAATCCGTGTTTCAGTGTTAAATATAAAATAAATAAATAAATGATTATACGTGTAATATTCGCTTGTGATGCTTCTTATTGTTTCAGTAAAAATGTTTCCTACAGAATGTCCAAAAGAGGGAAAAGAGAAGAGAAGAAATATTAGGAAACTACAGAAAATTCATGAAAAAAAAAAGAAGAGAAAGTTTTACATGCTGTCAGTGTATACCTGAAAACCAAATTGTTGGATAGTTTTAATCCATATTTTCCTTCAAAATAATGATAAGTTAAATTAAGGGTAGTTACACCATGGTTGGTTTCTCATAACATTCAACATTTTATTTCTAGTCCTTCATTCTAGTCATTGATTTTAAGTAATGCTTTCTATGTCCTACTGTACATGCTTTTCACTATGGGCAATGTGCAAATCTACTTTGAAGTGTTGAGTGCTCTTGTGAGTTCAATGCTCCCTACAACAATACTTTACGTTATACAGAATCCAGAGGAGATAATTGAAAATGAGCGAAGCATCAAATACAAACTCATTGAGCTGCAGAACATGGCAATTTACTGGGACACTGATGTTACTTTGGTTGGTGACTTACCATCACGAGATCTTGAGGTAATGTAGAGTTAACGTCCTTAGCCTGCGAGCAAGCTCTCCTTTCTCTCCCCTTCCTCCCGCTTTCGCGTCTCCTCTCGCGTGCCTCTCTCCCGTCTACTTTTCAGGTTATCCCCCAAATGGAGAGCTTACTAGTAGGCTATAACTTCCTGTTTAATTACAGTCATTTAAACCTACAACCGCCACCTCTGAGTACAGAGATGAGTAGCTGTTGTAGACAGATGGTCGTCATGAGGATTTAGGGTTGTTTGTCAGTGTATGTGGCAGAGAGAGCAGGCAGAGGAGTGGGGGAGGGTGGGGGGGAGGGCCAAAAATTTCACTTCCTGTAAATTGCATTTCGGGCTCCCACCCTTCCTCCCTTTAGCCTTTTGTCCTTTGCAAAATATCATTAATTAACTAGGCATTGTTGCATAACCCCCCCATTTCTTCCTGCTTCCCACCCTCTCCAGGACTTTCACCTCCCACGCTTTCCTCCCCCGCCCCTCGTACCCCTCCCGCCCCCTAGTTTTTTTTTGGCTCCCATCCCTTTGTCTTCCTCCACTATATGAGAAACAGGGAACAACATTTTTCTTTCTATATTGCTTATTGTAACGTTAACGATAAAGACTAGACATGTCTGAATCAGAAGCCAAACGTTTAGAACAAATATGAACAAAACAAAACGTGTAGTTAGTGTATTAGTTTCCATATCGTTGGCTTTTCAAAGCTAGTGGAAACGCAAAAGTGACTGTAAAGACTCCTCGCTAGGACACAAATAAAGGTGAGTGTTGTACAAAGAGAGCTGGTCGTTGGGAGAAATTCACCTAGGCATATTTTAAGAACGTTACTTATAAGCAGGTAGTTGACAGTCACGTCAATTTATGGCAAAAATTTATTCAATTTCAGAGCGCCCTTCAAAGAATGATTAACAGAAATCAAGGAAAGGCCGGATTTAGTGTGAGTGTTTTTGTTTTTTTTTTGCCACATTGTGCAGTTAATCTATTCGTTCGTTTGTATTTTAATGTTCCCTGTATTCCAACTGAGAATAAAACTAGCGTTCCATGTCTTTTCTTGTTTATCTCAACAAACGAATATTTTTTGTCACCCATGCACATGAAAAATTGAATGAACTACACATATGTAGTTGTTTTATTACCGTCTTTGTATATTATTGATATTTTTTTAAAGTAGCCATCAGAGGCTTGATTCTGGGCCAAGCGGAGAACCCATAAATTTTAGTGACTATTTTAAAAATAGTCCACGGGAAAACTAATCGCGCGCTTTTGGTCACGCATTCACGTAGACTCGTTAGTAACGCAATCTTTTTTCACTCTCCAGCTGTATTAGACATTTTTAGTGTTTGTTATGGTGGCTTATGTTAACTTGTCACTGTTGTTTTATTCTTCAGAAACATCAGTATATCCTGGAACCTACCAGCGCACAAGCAAAGATGAAAAGGAATGCCAGTGCTCTGCCACTACGTTCTCGGCAAATGCCACGTTTTGTGGTCGATGTTCACGTGGAAAAGATTCCATTGTCCCTGGAGGAAACACAATACAAGATGCTGATAACCCTGATGGAAGGCTTTGAAAGACATTTCAGGCAATGCCGGTACCTTAAATGGAGACCAAAATGTCCCATCAAGAACAAGTGAGGGAAAAAGTTTTATTCCTTTTGATTATGGAGCGGCCCTTAAATTATAGCGGTACTTGCTGTTTTTCAACAGTGTTTTTGTTATTTACCGTATTTATTCGATTAACCGCCCTGGGCGCTTATTACATTTTTGGACCTTAAGAGTGGGCGCTTATTCGAGGCTGAACGCTTATTAAATTTTCACCATTTTCAGCAAGCGAAGTATGTTTATTTTGCAACAAAACAATAAATGCTAATAACAAAACGTGAAGAAGTAACAAAGGAAAGTTTCTGTAAAATACTCTGAAGAAAACTCCGTCCTCGGGGAAGTCTCTTATTAGAATTTATTCACTCAAGTGGGTGGGGTAGGGGTGAGCGCTTATTTGAGTTTGATTGGGAGGGGGAGGGGGTGGGCGCTTATTTGAGGGTGGGGCTTATTAACTTTTTCTGCCTTTAGGATGGGCGCTTATTCGAGGTGGGCGCTAATTCGAGGTTGGGCGCTTATTCGAATAAATACGGTAAATGTTTAACGAGTGAAATGCACTTCTGGTTGGCACATTTTAATATCAGTGGGTGACGTCAGCGTGTCGCTATTGTTATTAACCAAGCTTTAAGTGGCCAATCACAATACGGGGAGAATTCAAATGAACCAATCACATCTCGAAGCAAACCTGAGATCGTTGCGAGGTTTTGCAGCCACGGTATTACAAAGTTTCCTTTGACAGAAACTTCCTCTGTTGTAAATATTGTTTTGTGAAAGATACAATGTACTTTGTTGCCACGTCTGATTATGTTAGCTCTGATAATATGAGGCATAAAAAATGCACTTTATTTGAGTGTTAATGTGTCTAGCACGAAAGTTCTAATTGGGGACAGTGACAATATTTTTACGTATCCTACTGGAGACGAGACCGCCTTTTTACGTGATAATTCAAGCCACGCGAAGGTCTAGCCATTTGCAGGGCAAAGGGATTATCTTCATTTCTCAGTCATTTTAAGTGCTTGAGTGTTAATATGGCTCCGGGAATCGAACCCGCGACATCCCGCTCCGCAGTCAAGCGCTCTACGACTGAGCTAATCCTGCCGCGGTATGCCATGTTTATCTAAAGTGTTATATCTTTGTACTAATTGTTACTATTACAATATGTATTTCAGTGCAAGAGAATGGTGGCAGTTCTCGATAAACTGCATTCTGCATTCTATAAAGGAGAGAAATATGCGTCAAACTTGGACTTTTGCTGCTAAGCGAGCTCATGGCATGGTCAAATACGTGAACATGTACACGAAGCACCTTGTATCTGCAACCATTGCGGAGCCTGCTCTTAAGGTAACTCATACACTTTATTCGGCTATGAATTAGATATTAGCAGCCTGCGTGGCTGGTGCAAAAAGGGGAGGGGGAGGGGGAGGGGAGAAGAAAAGCAGTCCCCAATACCCCTCCATCCCTTTTCTCCTTCTCCCCTACCCCACTGGACACAGGCTAGGGAGTTTAAGATACAGTACGGTGGCGGCAGTGAAAGCTTTTCTCTAAAGTGATGTCACCTTTTTTAACTCTTTCAATTTGTCATGAAATGTAGTTTTCCAAGAATTGAATAGGTCATTACCGAGTTTCAAAACCCTCACCTTCACAACGAGGCTAAGTCCTCGGACCTCTATTTTTCTTACTGTACATTAACGACATCAACAATGCTTCTAATCTATTAAATCTGATATTGTTCGCTGACGATACCAATGTATTCATGTCACATAAAGATCTGAACTATCTCTCAGATATGTTAAACTTGGAGATGGACAAACTGTCAATCTGGTTTAAAGCAAACAAGCTTTCTCTAAATCTTAAAAAGACTAAATTTATGGTCTTCAAACCAAGACAAAAGCGTTCAATTTGTAATATTCAAATAAGTATAGATAATCAAAATATTGTTAAAGTAAAGGAGACAAATTTTCTAGCAGTAATTTTGGATCAAAACCTAAATTGGAAGTCGGAAATATCACACGTTGCAAATAAAGTTGCGAAGTCAATCGGTATAATATCTATATGCAGCTTGTTTCTTCCTTAATCGTCTTTACGTATGCTCTACTATTTCCCTAATTTATCCTTATTTTTACTACTGCGATATAGTTTGGGCTTCGACCTATAAAAACAATCTCCGCCGCCTTGTTATCCTGCAAAAGCGCATTATTAGAATTATTAATAAATCACGTTTCAATGCTTATACAGACCCCATCTTTAATAACCTCGGTATACTAAAATTTAATGATATCCATTTGCTTCAACTGGGCCAATTTATGTATTCTTGCAAAAATTCATTCTTACCTCCAAAGTTTAATAACAATTTCTCTCAAAGCAATCAATTCCACTCTTACAATACAAGAAATTCCCAGGCCTACCGTCTACCGTATTGTCGTACAAACACGAAGAAGTTCTCGCCCTTTTTTCAAGGGCCTAAGTTTTTTAATTCACTTGACAACAAGATCATCAACTCTCAATCCCTCTCCTCTTTTAAGAAAAAACTGAAGATTAAATTATTGAGTAAGTATGAAAACAGTTTATAAATCTTTCCATCTTCGACTTTTCGCCTTCTTCTCTTCAATTGATGTGAAACAGCTCTAGCTCATAGTTCGAGGAGGCCTAACCTCTCATAAGCTCCTATTGTTTCTGTTAGGTCTCCTCGCCACTTCTTTTTTTTTTTTTTTTTCTTCTTCTTTTCCTATTTTTTTTGTAATTAGTGTGGCAAATAAAATAAAATAAATAATAAAATAAAAAAATAAAATAAAGTGCAAAACCTTTGTTGTGAACATGAAATTGCCTCCGAGATACAACCACCTTTTTAATGTGATGACTCCAGACAAATCTTTCTAAATTTGACTCGGTTCTTAATGTTACGAACCAAGTCAAGTTTAGAAGGATTTGTATGCCATGGAGTCATTTGAGCCTTACTGGACTAATATCTCAGAGGCAATTTGCTCCGAAATGCCGATTTTTGGCAAGTATGCCTTTTGTTCTTTTAGAATGTCCCGAAAAATCGCAATATTTCACAAGTTTAATTTTTATGAAGTCACACTTCAGGACTCTATGAGGGAAATCTATTGTTCTCGCACATGTGAAATGCAGCGTTTCGACTTTCCTATTAAGAGGCAACTCCCGATACTGTGGATACCCTTGGGACACCTTCGGGATACCCTCGGGACAGAGTGTTACCGTCCTTGCTAGTAGCGTGAACCCGTAATAGCGGGACTGTACTTGGTTCGAACTTCTGTAATTAATTTTTTTTTTCTGGAGGTCTAGCTGTTGTCCGTATTATAAGCGTGTCTGCAATACAAGCCTTGACTGTGTTAATCTTTTTCCCACCCTTCCCTAAATGTTATTTAACTCTATATGCGCAGGAAGACCAAGCTCAAATTGAAGAAGAGCTGACATTTGAGGAGCTGGTTGTTTTAAGAACTATTGCACAAGCAAAGGCAGAGAATGAAATTAGTCAGGTAGGATTATGTGTAAAAAGATTGTTAATTCTTACTTAGGTTTGAATTTAGATTTAGAGCACTTTAATCACATTGGAGAAGTAAATGAGGCCAACACAGCAGAGCCTGGCCTTAATTTAAGTGCTCAGTTGCATTGAGATAGGCATTGGGAGTGTCACCACTAGAGATAGCTTACGTGTTATTTTTCCTGAACGTTTTCAAAACAATTGATTTTTCTTCTTCATATGTCTGTTAAACGTAACGAAGAGAAATTAGCCGCTAGCCGAGAAAACAGAACTCTTTACCATTAACCGTAAATTCCCCCATTCCTGGCACCCCGTTAGATAGCGATCCTTCTTCAAGGATTCGTGGCATTGAGGCTCCGCTGTACGGAGTTCATGATTTAATTTTGATAACAGTTAGCTCTCTTTCATGTTTTCTCAAGGTAACTTGGTCGTTCTCCTTAGCGATGCCCTTTTGATTACTTGGCTTTCGTTCATCCTATCTTAGTAAACCTAAGACTTGAATTTAATTTAACAATGCTAAATTGGCTGGTCAATTCTTCACAATTTGAACTTTTAGAGCGATTTTCGTATGACCTTGAAAAATGGTTTCGGTATTAAAGTTTTCGTCATTTTTTTCTCAGCCAATGGATGAAAAGATCTAAATATGGACTCTTCGTTTTCCCGCCAAACGAAACCCTATGGAGAAGGCATTGCTCGATTGGCCAATCATGTTGGCCAATCATGCCAATCTTGTTGCAGTACATGTATTATATCAAAGCGAAGTATCGATTGATTTCAAGAAAGTTCTCGGACGTGAAGTTTTTTCACCCGAGCATTCGCTTAACCGACCAAAAGCCACGCGCCTTTGTATCCGTTCGGTAAACCAATCAAATCGCTGTATTTCCGTTCGTTTGTTGTTTCTGTTTTGTTCGCGCGTTTTCATTTTAAGGTTACACGAAAATCGCTCTAATCGATGACTCTTTCTTCAGCGCTCCCAGCCTGGAAGTGAGGATCAGTCCCAGGAGTCAGTAAAAGAGGAACTGGAGAAAACTGACAGTGGAGGTGCTGGGGGTGGGGGTGGGGTTGGGGTTGGTGGCGGGGGCTGGCAGAGCTGGGTAACTGGTTGGTACAGTTGGTATGGAACAGACACTCCAGATGGATCTGCGGACAAAACACAAGGCAAGGATTCAGCAGCTCCAGTGTTCATGGCAGAACCACCCACTACGAAAGGTTAGTTATTAGTGAGCTTAAGAGCAAGCGTGTTTGAGCGACGCACATCAACCAGAACGGCGCCCTTTTCCCTTTTAAGTTGCCACAATGTTTCAGTCTAAATTTGCATTAATTTTTTTAAGTGTCCTTAGTCTTATAGATACGCTTTGCCCTAAAAATTGGGCAAAACCATTGCCCAAGATTGCAAAAAGGTTCCCTTGCAGTTGAAGTATGTCGGTCGAAAATGTCTTTGCTTAAGCTCAGAATTCTGGGACAAAAAAACTCTGAGTTTTAACCCTTAGAGCCCTAAGAGTAATCAACATCAAATTTCTCCTTGAAATATCAATGCTTTGTTAAACAGAGTGGTCATGAGAATTACGAACATGATCACACAAGATGAATTTGCTTGATATTTTATCAACTTCTCCCCACTGCTCCTGTAGGAAATGAATAGGGGCAACAAATGAGAATTCAAAATTTGATCTTAGGGTTTAAAGGGTTAAGACAGCATAACTGTGAAAAAATTCACCAGTACCAAGACAGGAAAAGAATCAATTTTGGGTTCTTTACCATCGAGAGTAACGTTGCTTTCCAGCATAGTTAATTGAGTGGAATGGTTATGAAACCCGTCAGACTCCTTTGTTATATGTTTTTGTGGACCTGAAAGTGCACAACGTTCAAAAGAATTCCTATCATTTTGATTGTATTGACCAATAAAAACGTTGCATTAATTTATTCCGTAACAATTTGCTAACAGAAAACAAAGGCTTGTGCACTTTCACGGTACTCCCAACATAAACTGCAGCACTGTTGTTTTTATCATTGATGTTTGCCGCTTTTCATAACCAGTCTCCTCTAATAACTATGTTTTCAGACGGTCGTTACGTTCTGCATTTATCAGAGCCACTGATCTTCGAAAAAGTTTGGCGCTCTTGCATGGCAATGAAAAATCTCTCATCATGTCGCATTTTCTTTTTCCCCTTCTTGCAGAGGAAGAGGAGTTCCTTGACGAGCTCGCGGACAATCAGCAGCTAAACGAGTCAATCTTTAACCGAGACCAGGTCTTCGCCCACTTGAACTTCAGACTTGATGCCGGCTCCTTTAAACTGATCAACACAAAGCAATCAAATACCTCTTCACAGACGACAGCGTTGCCAGTAGTTGAAGCCGAGTTTTCTGATCTGAGGTGGGATTCCGAGATGCGGCCTCGCTCAAGCACTTGGGAATTTAACATGAGTTTGGGAGCTTTGTTTGTTCGAGATAAACTGACACCGGAAACATTGTTTCCATCTTTAGTTTGTCCCCAGGGTCGGGAGAGTAAGGTTAGTAAATTTACCTTTTAAGTCAATTCGCCACTTTAGAAACGAGAAAGAAACTGGGCCGAGCTATCTTTCGCAAAGACTTCTGGGATATGGCAAACAAATTAGCCATGAGCTGCATTGCGCGTCCCAAGTAAAAATCCCACAAGTCTTGGCGATAGCAAGCTCAGCCCAGCATTTCTCTCGCTTTTAAAGTGGCGATAAGGGCATGTAATTTGCTGGACCATTTATGTGACGAAGGATGTTGGAAGTCAAAAGGATTTCTTTTTTAAAATTTTACATTGCAGAAAGCTTCGCTTGCTAAGAAGCAACAGGGAACACTGTCAAAAGCCACAACTGGAGCCATGGTTATGTCTGCAGCCAGCGTGGGCCTTAATCTTTTACAAGACATGAGTGAACCAGTGTTTGAAATGAAGTTTGAGTCTCTGTCACCAACAAGCAAAGTTGCATACAAGTTAGTTGATAGGGAAACGTCATACAGTCAACTCTCCCCTTGCTGACACCCCGCTATAACGGTCAACTCGATAATACGGACAGCAGTTGAATCCCAAGCAAAAACAAATTACAGAAATTTGACTGAGGTAAACTCCCGCTATTACGGACTCTCGCTAATGAGGACACTAACTCGAGGTCCCTGGAGTGTCTGCTATATAGAGAGTTGACTGTACATGAGAAATGTAAGGTGACTATTCCTAAAAGTCAAAACATCGTTACGCGTTAAGCTTTCTAACCCGCTTAAAATCAGGAAAAAAGTTCGGCCTTAATTCCTGGTCAAAGCCTCATCACGATAGACTAATTTCTTATTGTTTAAATTTTCACATGGCTACGAGGCTGGTGGGAATAAAACAATTAAAACAAATTGAATTGGGATTCAAGGATTAATATTTCATTTCTTTTTTTATTCCCCTCAGGGTCAATGTTGATAATTTGAAACCAGCCTTTTGACTCAACTGCAAACATCATTGTGTTGTTTGTTTGTTGTTTTTTTCGTCTTCTAAAAACAAACAAACAAAGAAACCAAACATTAGTGTCCAACATACAACAAAACAGAGATTTCCATGAAGGAATGTAACGAAGTGAAACCCACAACTTACCGCCCATTGCGAAAGCGTTCCAATGCCGTACCGTCCAGTGGCGGATCCATGGTCATCCAGACCCTGAAATAAGGTGGGGCCCGGTCTCAAAACTTTTTTTGGCCCTTCGGGCCTCAGTGTGGTCTAGAAATAAGGAGGGGGGGGGCCCTCCCCTGGATCCGCCGCTACCGTCCGTTCTGTAGACTGTAGGCAACATTCTTGCTTTTGCTTGTTATGTAATTTTAATCTTACCTTCCACCTCTATTTTGGATGTCGCTCATGCAGGTTGTCAGTGACCACTCAGCCACTGGATGTCGTCTACAACCCACTAGTGTTGGATCACATCTCCGAGTTTTTCTCCCACACATCAATGGAAGGAACCCAAGCTCTTCATATTGAACGGCAGCTCCGTGAAGTGGCACGGGTTAGATACGAGGAACTAAAGAACCAGACTAGAGCTGAACTTGTCCAAACACTTGATGC